ACACCCACACCCACCCACACCCACACCCACACCCACACCCACATCCACACCCACACCCTCACACCCTCATCCACACTGGATTACACTACAGTATAGCATAGAGAAATATATGCAAATGTATATGCTTTTTATGAGCTGAATTTCTTTTCGCAAAATAGGAGTTTTTTTCTCTTGTTTATTACTAAGACTCATGTGTTGCTTACCTTGATTATTTTACTTTTGCTATAGGCTGTTGTTCACAACACAATGTTTGGTTTAAAAAAACTTGAAAAAAAAAGTGAAAGCAAAGGAGTCGAAAAAGGACAAAAATTAAGCATATAAATTGTCATCATGGCGATAAAGTAACAGAGGAAAGATTCAACAAAGAAAGGAGTCATCTCACAAACTCAACATTTGATGCAGGTAGAAATTGCCATAGATGAAGTTTTCTCGGTATAGCTGTTTTGATTACTTAATGTCGACGAGTACCTTATTAGTGCAGTTTTTTAAACTGGAGAGAGTAATTTAAAGAGCTAATACGTAATTGTATTGTAGATTAGAAAGCATTGCGATATATATGAATTACATGTAGATACCCAGGACCGATTTCCATTCGCATGATAGATTAATAAATTCTGGTCAGTCAAAGTTCTCGAAAATTTTTTTTGCATCCATTGCACAATAATTTTATGATATTATAATTTTTGATTTTGTGATTTTGCGTCGAACCTAAATGCTGAGTTTCTTTCATTCGTATACCTTTCTATTCGGCACCTTTTGCTATTACTATGATAAGAATTGAGGTAGTGTAATGGGCATGAGAATTCTTTGACAAAAAACATAAACGAAGTATGGTTACATGGCTGTAATATAGTTTTGGCGGGCGATAAAAATTTTCTGAGTAAATAAGTATGTCTCAGGAGAGAAAACAAAGCTTTAGAGCTATCGAAGAAAAAGCTAAGACCACAGAGAAGCCTTCGATCCATACAGTCATACCTAAGGATGGTAGCGAATACCTTCTTATCACGCATCATTGTTTTCACAGTCTTAGAAAATCGGTGAGTCACTGAAGTATGCGTCAGTGTCACAGGATGAAGCGTCATGTCACATAACATAATCTAAAATTTATGGTGACCAGTTTTAAATTAAGCAGCTATATGGAAAACAGATGATTGATGTCTTCCTTCAATAGATCATTGTGTTTAAATGAGAGTGAAAATTTCTGAGACACTACAATACCTGATAGTCAAGACAGAGAGCTTCAAACCCCATGTCAAACTTTCAGGATGAAAAAAACGCATAGATCGCAGAGTTGGACGTAAGTCTTAGTATATACCTCTTCAGACAGCATATCATTGTTCCAACTTGAGGGCAAAATGCCCGGGTTAATAAAAATCTTGAGAGTCAGACAAACAATGCCTCAACATCTGTGCAAACAGATATCTATAGCAAAGTGATGGTTAAGAAAAGGAAAATGTTTAGCTGGGTGTGAGTCTTGGCGGAAAATGGGGTAGGGAGATGTGAAATGTTCACTTGCCGTATGAGTTTAGTGCGAAGAATGTCTGGATGAGGCTATTGATATTCTCTAAACGGATATACACAGCAACGCAAATACCCCTCATCTACAATTAGTGTCGATTGTATAGAAGTTACCAAGTTATGAAACTACGTTCTGCTCAGAATAATAAACTATCGCGTAGTTGGAATTCGACGTATTGTTATGTCCTTACAAAAATGCCTTGACGATGGAATTTTTGCGCCGATTATGTAATCACTCAAGAGCGTATACTTATTATTCGTTTTGTGAAACACGATCTAAAAGGAGTGCTGAAGTGTATAGGGTAAAAATTTGGCCCCCCCCCCCCCCCCCACAGACCGTGACAGAGAAAATCCATACCCATCATAGACCGTGGCAGAGAAACCTAGTATCCATCACAGACCGTGACAGAGAAATCCACTATCCGGCACAGACCGTGACAGAGAAATCCAGTACCCATCACTGACAGTGATAGAGGGGCTCCAAAGACCATCACAGACCATGACAGAGATAATCCAAATTCCTTCATTCACAATATAAAAAGCTCCATCGTGTTTCACATTTTTAATCCCGCAAGGATTGCGCTGAAAGCTTTTTGGTACAAACAGAGTTCACAAACCTCGAAGCAAAAAAACTTCTTTCAGTTCCATATCACATTAGAAGTTAGAATTTATTGGAACTGCTTGTACTTAATGAAATTAAGGTCAAAATACTTGATAGAGTATCTTAGAGTGTCTCACGTTTTAAATTTTCTCAGTGTCAATCATGGCTAGCATGGCAATTTATCATATAATATAGAGGACACTTATGTGAAGAACCGTTTGAAGTGTACGTCAGACTGTTAGTATCTGGCTTCGTATCTATTCCGTTGGTGCATAAGTTCTGCACGTTTGGATCAGTAGAATTATATTGCCAATATAATTCTACATTCTAAGAAAAGTAATTGTATATTCTGATAGCGTTCGAAATTCTCTACCACCATGTTTATTTGAGTCTTGACTTGCATTTTTTTGCTGGAAAATATTTCGAGTATAGTGAAGGCATCCTCACCGGCATTGACAATGTTCGAAATATTTCTCGACAAATAAGTTCAAGCCAAGACCTGAATATACAAGGTGATAGAGCATTTCAAGGGTTCTCAGAATATATAATTACTTTTCTAAAAAACGGATTACTGTATGGATAAAAGTTTTAAAAACACATGACAAAGGAATAAAAAATGGAGTTCGTGGGAATCTGAGGGTGAGGGCGTCTTCACTGTATTTGAAATATTTTTCAGCAAATAAATGCAAGTCAAGGCTTAAATACACAGGATGATAGAGAATTCCGAGCGCTATCAGAATGCATAATTAATTTCCTTTAAATGTAGTTTTATATTGGCAATATAATTCTACTGATCCAAACATGTAGAACTTTTGTACCAACGGGATAGATACTTTATACGATACGAGATGCAGTTTTTTCCAGATTCATCTTACTTTTCTTTTTATAAATGGCAACACGAAACACCGCGGATACTGTATTTCAACCACGACGTAAAGCAGCCCTTGTAATTGGGATTGGTAGAAGTGAACATTGTGGAGAATTACAGTGCCCAGAAAATGACGCAAATGATATATCATCTACTCTGGAGAGTATTGATTTCATTGTTACAAAGAAACTAAATCTTAAACGAGCTGAAATGAGACATGCTATTATTGATTTCGAAGAATCAATAGAAGCTGGTGATATGGTTCTATTCTATTTTTCTGGACATGGCGTACAATGGGAAGTATGTATTAACGTATTACCATTAGAAGTTAATGTGATTTTCTATGAGCGTTATATTTCTGGTAATTTTTAGGATCAAAATTATTTGATACCAGGAGACACTTCCACATTGTATGGTGCAGATATAAACAGAAATGCGATTAATGCACAAGATATTCTCAGCTGTTTCTTGAATCAAAAACCATATGTTACAATATTCTTATTGGAATGTTGTAGACATTATCACTTACGTAATCCTTCCATTGATGCACGTGCTCCAGTCACAAGCGATCCAAAATCAGCCGGTCTCAAGGCCATGGAAAGGATTGGTGGTGCATTGATTGCATTTGCTTGCGCGCCGGGAACTATAGCCATAGATGGAAAGGAGCAGAGAAATGGATTATTCACAAAGCATCTTTTAAAGCATATTCCAACTCCGAATGAAGATATCCTCACAATGTTGCGTAATGTTACCAAAGGAGTAGTAGAAGAGTCAAAGCACAGGCAAATCCCTTATCTAAGTGCTTCTCTATCAGAGAATAATATATATTTATGTTATCAACAGCAAAATCAAACTGGTAAGACAAGTAAATATGTCAGTAAATTCTATCTTGTTTACAGTGAATCAAAATAAGAACATAATAATTTTACGAGTGAAATATATTTCTTTCTCAACGCTTAGAAAATGCCTAATGAGAGATTATTAACATCACGGTGTTCTTCAGTGGAAATAAAGTAAAATGTAATAGATAGTATAATCAAAGTCAACAGAGAACTCAAGTTCATTTTAGACCCCAGCCTGAAAATGCTTACATTTGTTTGCTAGCCATATCTAACTTTTTTTGTTCATGAGGGAAACTATCAACGCAGGTCGATGATTACGACGACCGCATACAGCGGCGTAAACAGCCGAAAGCGCGGGAATTACGACTGTAAACGACCCGTTTTTCACCCTTTTGGTAGCGACAGTATTACGATCGTATCACGCCGTGTCATATACAGTGAAATACAGCCGTCGAATACGCCAAGATCTGCACTGTAATACGACCGTGTTTGAGTGGATACGATCCGACACGCTGACGTTTCTGGCCGTACATCGCCGCGAACCGTCATGATTAGATAACTTAAAACAATCACATGCATTGAAAAAACGCCTTTAAAGGCTTTTAAAAGGTCTTCTTTCGCAAGAACTCTGATTTCTTCGTAGAAATCATCTAAAACAAAGCGGTGAGCTACCAAAAGGCTTTCCAGTGCCTTTTTCTATACGAATCCATTCATTGGGATCAAGAAATTACGTTATTTACAAAGTTCGAAATAAAGGCGTTTAAAGACCTTTAAAGGCATTTTTACACAAGAATGCTTTTTTTGGAAACGAACAGCTTAAAACTATCTGGTAACTGAATGAGAGACCTTATCAGTTCTTATTCCAATAGAATGCAATGATTTTGGTTGTAAATAAGCTATTTTCAGAGTTTTCCTAAAAGAAGCTCTTGGAAGTTTTTTTCAGAATTTTTATGAAATTTGGTGATTTAAAATATTTCAGTCAGTCCATCTGATTGGGATGGTAGAAGAGCTAGGCATGCACTCTGCCGTTATACATTCCATGTGGGGAGACAGTTTACCAGAAATCCCATTAAAGGCCTTCTCCAGGATTTTTATAAAATCTGGAGATTCACATTATGCCAGTCGGTCTGTCTGTTTGGTATGGTAGGAGAGCTTGGTATCTTCTCGGTCGTTACACATCCGCTGGGGTGGGGGGGTTGGAGAAGGTCGTAAGAAATCCTCTCAAACTCCTCTTTTTGGTACTTGTTTGTCATGATTTGGATGAAGGGAAGTTGTTTGAAGGTTGCTGATATCGAGTGCACTATGAAAATTCAAAATTAGTTCAAGGTACTTCTCACGGGTTGTCTCGCACAGATGATCGTAGTAGATGGTATCGCATGTCATATGTTTGTTACAAATGAAATAGTGTAGGTTGTTTTCGTATTGTGATTCGTATAAGTACGAAAAATAGTTTTGACCTCCGATATTAGCTTTAGGGTTTTCGCTTTTCTGTGAACAGGTTCGTGAAACTCATGTATCTCACTAATTAGATAGACAGTACTAACAAGTTTGAAAAGAAGGGTGGGTGTGGGTGGGTGTGTGGGTGTGGGGTAGTGGGTGTGTGGGTGTGGGTGGGGTGTGGGTGTGGATGCGGAAGACAAGGATGAAACACACCCACACCCACACCCATACCCGCACCCACACTCACACCCACACCCCACATCCACCCACACCCACACCCACACCCCACATCCACCCACACCCACACCC